CTGCAGGCAGTGACCTTACCCACTATGTCACAGCTCTGGCTCCAAGGGAGAGATCTTGTATCATCTGGTTCACTCTCCAAACTGCTGCGGCTGGACCAGGCCAAAGCCAGGAGCCAGGAGCTTCTTCTGCTTCTCCCAGGTGAGTGCAGGGGCCCAAGCACGTGGGCCTTCTGCTGCTTTTCTAGGCCCATTAGCAGGAAGCTGGATCGGAAGTGAAGCCGCCGGGGCTCGGCTCTGTGCCTACATGGGATGAAGGCACTGCAGATGGTGGCTTATTGCTCTGTGCCACAGCCCCTGCCCCAGGGGTCACCTGAGCCAAGGCTGGCAGGTGTCACTGTCCCAGATCCTGGAAGCTCCTCCTTGGTTTCCAGGCTGGGTGCCCACTGGGTCCAGGCCCCTCCTCCATCCTTTCCCGACTCTGCCCATCCCCTCCCTGCTCACTCAGGGTCCAGGTTTTGAGAGGCAGTGACCATGGCACTAACTAAGGGTGAACCCAATGTGTGCTGTGTCCCCAGCTTCTTCTGAGACACAGTTCTGTCCTCTCCTTGACAGTGAAAACCTGCTGATCCTGATACCTGGCAACCAGGCAGGAAGAACAATGCCATTGGCTCACCCTCCAATGGCCGCCACGGCCAGTGCACTGCGGCCGGCGCATCGTGCTTATCCGAAGCCAGGAGCCAGGTGCTTCTCCTGCTTTCCCATGCAGGTGCAGGGCCGAAGGACTTGGGCCATCCTCCTCTGCACTCCTGGGCCACAGCAGAGAGCTGGACTGGAAGAGGAGCAGATGCTACAGAAGCCAGCGCTGCGACTGGAACTAGAACCCGGTGTGCTGGAGCCAAAGGCGGAGGATTAGCCTATTGAGCCTAGGCTCTGGCCTGCTTGTAAATCTTTTACACCACTTTCCGAGGATGCACCTGTGTCTCAGCTGGGACCAGGAAGGAGAAGCCATGATGGAAACAGGGAAGTGAAATTCTGGATGGAGGGGCCATAACAATGCCTTCAGTATTCCCACAGGTGAGATCCCACCCCACTGGGTTATGCATTTAGGGCACCGCCCCCTGGGAAGAGAAAGGGGAGGGCCCTCTCTGCCCCTGGCTGTGCTTGGGAATCCTCCTTGGGCTGCCTCTTCTCTCTTCCTCCTGGCAACCCTGGCCCATTCCTGCTGAGTGTCTCTCCGTGTGTGGCGGCCCTCAGTAGGCATGCAGGTGTGGTCACGCTCTCTCTCCTTGAAATCAAAGCTGCTTTTGTGCACTGCCTGTGGCTGCTGCTACTGTGAATCCTCATCTCCATGGGGACAAGAAGCTTGAGTAAAATGTAAGACCCAGGGCCCACACCTTCCCCACCGGGCACCCAGCAGGGTACGTGTGGTCCTGTGACTGTGGGGAGGGGGGGGGGGGGTCCGGGAGTCAGCCTGAGTGTAGGAAACATCAGGCTCCCTGCAGGAAGGAGGAGCAGCCTGGGCACGGGAGCCCCCAGGGGAAGTGGACCCTGGCTCATGAAGGCTGATTTTGTGGCTCCTGAGAACTGGCCTTGACCTCTGCTCAGCCCAGGGCTCTCTCAGCCACCATGGCCAGGGCTACCCAGGGCAAAGTCCAGAGGGAGAAACATTATCTGTGTACCCCACGTGTGTGGCAGGGGCCCAAGCACTTGGGCCCTCCTCTGCTGCTTTCCCAGGTGCCTTAGCAGAGATCTGGATCAGGAGTGGAGCAGCTGGGACCTGAACTGTCCTCATATGAGATGCCAGCGACATGGGTAGAGGCTTAACCCCTTGTGCAAAGCAACAGCCCTATACTCCAGGTTTACTGAACTAATGAACTTAGGTCCCTGGTTCATGGTATCCCAGCTGTGCAGGTAACCAGGTGTCTCTTGAGAGCTGAGGGTCTAAGAAAATGTGTCAGGTTCAATCAGATGTATGTGACTCAGGCGTGAAAGGACTAGAACCCTTTATTTGTGCTTCATGGATGGGATTGAGGGTGCCACTCATGGCAGCCAGCAGGGACGAAGCGACGGTGACTCCTGGTATCTGGGTCTTCTGTGGCCTCTAAGAAATGTGAGATCACAGGCATTCCGGGAGGAGGAGGATTGGTCTTAAGGCACCCAGGGGTGGGCAACAATGCTCAACGAAGTTCCCGCTGCATGGGGAGAGCCTGGGGCTGGCTGAGAAGAGAGGGAGGGTGTGGAGAAGGTGGAGGGGGCAAGAAGCATGAGGGCCCAGGGCCCAGTGCGTGTTGAGAAAGCAGGGCTGGCACTGGTGTTGCCCAACACAGCTCCATGCGAGTGCACTGGGTGTGTCTCACACAAGGGGCCCCAGGGCAGGCTTAGCAATGAACCTCAAACCGTGAGTTCTCTAAACGGTCTGCTAGTGGACAGAGGCCAAGAGGACTGAGTGGCCGTGTGAGAGTGCTGAATGCGTGGCTCTTCTGGGGATGTGTGCGAGTGCATCGGGCCCCACCTGCACTGGAGCCCCTGACCCCACCCCCACTTAGGCAACTATAGTTCTGTGTGCTTCTGCTCAGTGCCCCTTAGCTCCTGGACCCTCTGGGGCAGGGTGTGGGTCCAGAACTGGAGCCTGCGGGCCTTCAGGGCCTGGCCCACTGCAGGCTGCACGTTCAGCTGCAGGTATCGCTCGTCCTGGTTGAACACGGGCCAGTGCGGCAGGCCCTCGCCGTTGGGGTTCCTGCAGAGAAGACGTCAGGAAAGGGGGTACCGTGGTCACTCTGAGCCCTGCCCAGCCCAGCCCTGAGCACCGATCTGGGGTCCGGCCTGGCCAACTTGCAGGCAGGATGGCTATGGAATGGGTTTCCAGAAGCAGCAGCAGAACGACCTCCCCCTGGTGTCAATCCCATGTGGGACCCAGTATCCTGACCTGGCCTGTCCCTCCCCGACAGGGATCCTCTGGGCAGAGCAGCTCATGGCGCACCCCAGGTCACTGCAAGATGGGAAGATGTGCCTGGTCCCAGGGCCCCTGTGAGTGCCAGTGGGTCCTGCAGCTGGGGAGGGCGCTGTCACATGACTTAGGTCCCTGGATGTTGGTGAGGTCCCCACAGAGGAGGGAGGGCAGAGGGTCCCAGGTCCTTGGGGATTTGGGGGGGGGGGTCGTCTCACCCGTTGCGAGCAAAGTTGGCCCAGTACTTCATCACCCTCCTGCTCAGCAGCTCCTCCTCCTCAGTGAGGGGCACTGCAGAGGGGAGGGGCAGGGTCAGCTCGGAGCACCCCAGTCCTGCTGCCCATCATGCACCACGCTCACCAGCTCTGGTGGAGCAGAACCTGGCTACCCACCAACCTCTGTCATCATCCCCTCACCAGCTGTACCCAGCCTTATCAAGCCCCACGTCCCCAGTCAGCCCCTAAGTCCTTGACACTGCCACCTTCCTTGCCTAGATATTTTCTTCCCTCTGATCTGGGACATGTTCAGGAAACAGACATGACTTGAACCCTTGCACCCAAGATGGACACTCATGCCTGGGGGGACAGAGGAGGAGCGGGTACAGGCTGCACCCTGAGCGGTTCAGATTCCATCCCTGGCTCTGCTCCTTGAATGTACACTGGATCCCATCTGAGCCTCCTGCTTTCATCCATACGTTGGGCCAAGAGCCCTATCCGGGAGAGACTGGAGCTCATTCCATCCTGGCGAAGGGCCCTGCACCCCATGGGAGACCAGGAGAAGCACCTGGCTCCAGGCTTCAGATTAGTGCAGTGCGCTGGCCGCAGCACACCAGCCACAGCGGCCATTGGGGGGTGAACCAATGGTAAAGGAAGACCTTTCTCTCTGTCTCTCTCTCTCACTGTCCACTCTGCCTCTCAAAAAAAAAAAAAAATAGATGCTTAAAAAAAAAAAAAGAAAGTCAGCAGATCCAGCAGCTCCTCAGGGTGTCTGGGCAGGAAGACTCCGTCTATCACCCCTGTGAACACCTTGAAGACCTGATGTCACACAGGGTCAGGGAGAAAGCTTGAGTTTGCTCTGTGTACATCCCCCATGCCGGGCGCAGCTCTGGGTGCTCACTCCCACCTGGGAGTTCCCAAGCCTGGCATACAAGACTGGGTCCCTGTTCCATCCAGGGCTAAGATGTCAGGAGGGCATGGATGGGAGGTAGCAGCCCCAGGGACTATGAGGTGCACACAAGCCCATCACCCCCTCACTCACGTGCACGGGGCCCGACCTGGGTGATGGCCAGCATCTCCTCTTCACTCTTGGCCTGCAAGCAGCGCACCAGGGTCTCAGAGTCCACCTGGCCATAGCCAGACAGGTTGGCCACCACCTGTAACGGGACCACACAGGGGCTGGCACAGCCATGCGGGAGACACGGGGTTTCCCATGGCCCCACTGGAGGCAGGTGTACCCAAGCTCGCTCAGGGTGTGGTGTGGACATGGTTGCAGTTGGAAGCTGATTATTCCTTCTTCCCCATGACTTGGTACCGCCCAGCCACAACGGCAGCACCTGGCTGCTACAACCTGGGGCTCAAGGTGGGCAGCTTGGTGGAGCCGAGAACCAGTTCTTCCTCTGCTGTGGCTCAGGTGTGTGGATTCTGACCACGGAGAGCTCAGCAGTCACCAGTAGACAGCAGAGCCCACACTCCCAATGGTCCACGCTGTGCTCATTTCCTTGAGACTGTAATAGAGGCAGGAGCAGCAGTGCTGGCTGGGCAGGGAGGACACTCACTGTGGAGACCACCTCAGACGAGCTGGTGATGAGGCCGGGCATCAGGGCCACCCCACTCTCCATGATGGCTCCGTGGAAGAGACCCTGGGACATGGGTGACAGCACATGGGAGGACACACTAATGCCACCTGCAGACTCGCCGAAAATGGTGACCCGGCCAGGGTTGCAGAAAAGTGGGTGATATTCTGCTGGACCCAGCCCAGCGCGGCCACTTGGTCCAGGTAGCCCCAGTTGCCGGTGGCGTGCTGGTCTCCAGTGCTGAGAAGTGGCAGGGACAGGGGTCACTGGGCTGTCCTGGTGCCACTCTTCCCGCAGGGCCCACCCCAGCCCCGGTCTCACCTGAAGAAGCCCAGGACTCCCAGGCGGTACTGGATGGTGACCACCACCACGTCCTCAAATGCCGCCAGCACAGAACCGTCATACATGGGAGCCATGCCCATAGTCAGCTCACCACCATGGATCCACACCATCACCTGGGGAGTCAAGGATGGACCTTGTGGCTTCCCCCAGCCTAAAGCCTATTCATCCCCCTCTTGGTCTAACCAGGGCCTGGGGTCTGTGCAGGTGCCTAGCACACTGAACTCTACCCAGACAGCAGGATCTGGGCCATGAGCCAGGGACTCAGTGCCAGCAGAAAGGCCAGCCCTCCCATCCTTGGAGTTCTAGCCCTTGTTTCAGAGCTTGGCTGCATCAATTCCAGAACCTGCAGTGAGGTGGAAAGCTAAGGGCTGAGTCTTGGTCCTTCCACATGGATGTTATTCAAAGTGCCCTCCTTCCCCATGGGCTGCCCAAGCGTCCATGGCTGATGTCCTGTGTGACCTCCAAGGTCAGCCCTCACCACACAGCAGAGTGAGTCTCCTGGGCATGAGGATGATGGCAATGTCCTGGGGCCATCCAGAACCCACTCATTCTGACCTCTGACAGCAGCCAGGCCCCGGGACATCCTGCCCAGGCCTCAGCTGCCCACCGTGGGGGAGCAGCACTTCTTGGCTCCGATAATGAGAGGCCTCTGGACAATGTGCGCTCACAGGAGGGCCTGTGCTCAGCTTCTCCTTTCTCATCTTCTAGCAGAAGGCAATGCCCTCCCACCCTGGCCCACCCTGCCCCACACTCACAGGCAGGTCAGAGCCCTCACGGGCACGTGCAGGCGAGTAGATGTTGAGGTACAGGCAGTCCTCGGACATGGGGATCAACGGTGGGGTGAGGTTCAGCTGCAGAAAATCTTGACCCATCATGGCCAAGTTCTGCAGACACCTGGAGCCACCCAAGGCAGCCATTAGTCTAGAGCCTGGGTCTAGTGTGGCCGACCCTCCCCGGGCCTCCTCCTACAGCCCTGCTCACTCATGGGCCTCCATAAGACACTTCCCACCAGGCTCCAGGTCCTAGACTCTGGGTGAGCTGGGATTGTGGGAGCAACTCGGACTAGACTAAGTTACTGGAATTAAGACTTATTCTATGCATCTGCTCTCCCACTATATGGCGCTGGGAGAGGAGTAAACAACTTTTACACAGCTGCCTCCAGTTCGACCAATAACCTGCAGGAGCTGATCCTGCTCCTGATCGGAGGAGAGCAGCGTACTCGGTGTGTGGATAGCAGAGTTGGGATTGGTGGAAGAGGACTATAAAGGAGGAGAGAGACACCATGCACCAGGAACATCTAAGGGGAACATCCAGATAACATCTGAGCAGCCCCCGAGAGAGCCGGCCGGCGGTGTGCCGCTCCCCCGCGGAAGTGGGGAAAGTGGCAGGGGGAGCCGCCCTTCCACGGAGGTGGAAGGATCGGCAGCCAACCCGGGAAGAACCAGCAGCAAACCTGGGAAGGGCCGGGCAGACAAAAGAACAACGCAGGGTCCTGTGTCGTTCCTCCACGAAGAGGGGGAGCAACATGGGATGGTCCAACATCAGGGAACCTCAGGTGTCTGAGAGTCTGGGGACCACTCTTGACTGAGAGGGGACTTGTGGGAAGTCGTGACTGCAGGAGGGACACTCAGTGCTGGATGCCCAGACCCAGCCACGCCGGAGCAGGCCAGCCTCCCGCACACGAGCCTGGATGGACGGATGGCGTTTCCCCAAAAGGGCAGTGGACGACCCTCACCTTCACTCTAGACTCAAGAACCTCCCCGTTCCCACAGTGTCCAGTCCTAAGGGCATACACGGGTCCCTGGCCAATGTCCTTGCCCTGTTGTTGGCTCAGTGACCATGACGACCCCCTCTGGTGCCCATCTCAGGGAGCTGCAGGATCTGCTGATGGAGTCGGGGCCTCCTACAAGCATGTGGAGCCAGGTGAACCTCACCCAGACACAGCGCCCCCTGCAGGCAGAGAGCCTGTGGCCTCTCCTGGACACGGGGAGAGCGTCTCTGCTTTTCTCTCTGTACCTGGATTTAATGTGCTCTGAGTGCCACGTTCTGGCCCCAAAGCATTTCATGGTCACTGAATCCAGAAAGCCTAAGCAACTCACTGAATAACACACGAGGGAGCCATCACCCACAGGGAAAGCTGGTTATGGGAGCTCTGTCCCAGGACAGCTGGCCTGGCCCAGAACTGTTGGGCAGACACTTGGAGCAGCAGTAGCAAGGCCGCTGGGATGCTCCCCTCCTAACACAGCGGGCATCTGAGGGTGACCGTGGAGGGGAGAGCTCTTTCTCACTCTGTCTCTCCCTCTTTCCCTGTCTCTGCCTTCAAACCAGCAGAAATCAATCATCCCCAGCCCATGGAAGCTGACTCCTCCTCGGGAGGAACCTCCCATGTCACAGTAGGCGATGCCAGGCCACAAGGGTGCTCTGGGCCCCTGGGTCAGGGAGAGGAGAGCCTGGCCCCGGAGCGGGTGAGTAAACAGCGCCTCTGTCCTGAGCTGGTCCCGACCTTGTCCTTGTCGTTCGCCCCAACCATGGAGGACAGCGCTGCCTGCAGCAGCAGTTCCGGCTGTGAGGCTGACAGTGAGCTGAGCTCAGCAGAGTCCACGGAGGACAGGGGCGGCTTCCGTGCAGACGCTGCCGTGTTTCCTGCCCCAGACACGCACAACGACTCCCAGGGACCTTGGGGAACAACTGCTCCCTCTCTGAGTGGGGACCCAGCCCCAGATATTACTTTATTAGGAACCACAGTGATGTGGGGGAGACGATCTGCCTGGAAGGTCCTGGTCACCGGGAGAGTCTGTGCATTGCAGGGCAGGCGGGGAGCCCGTGGGTGAGCATGGAGGAGGAGGAGTGGGGCCTGTGCTGGGGATTAGATAGGGAGAGGGTGGGGTTAGAGACCTGGGCCTTTAGAATGAGGAGACAAAGGATCAAGAACACACCCCATGGGTAATACCCACGCGGGCTGATTCATGATAAAACTAATGCCAGGTTCTTGGGTGGGGTCACGTTCGCCCTGGAACCTTAGCCTGCAAATATCTGCCAGGCGCACGGGGTCAGAGGAGACCCTGGCTTACAGATGGGCTTCTGGATTGGCATCAGGGGCTTTGTATTTGCAGGTCCAGTTACCCGATTGGGGCCACCGGGTGGGGCAGGGAGCCGCTCTGCCAACGGTCTGCAGCCCTGGAGACAAATGGTCCGAGGGCAGGTTCCTCACTGTCTTGGTCACTTGCTCCAGCAGCCTGGAGCCCCGGGAACGTCCCCGGTTCCCACACCGCCCCTGCCTCCTGGGCTGCTGACCAAAGGCTGCGCTGCTCAGAGCCCTTATGTTGGGCTCAGTCCCTTGTGTCTGGGGCCTCGGGCAGCCCCGACTCTCCCGGAGCCTCAGGGGCAGCGCTGTCACATCTACCCACTACAGATGCCCGGGTGTTGTCCTCCTGAGGCTGCAGGCTCTAAGTGCGTGATTGGGCAGATCTGACCCGGGTCCCTGTCGCCACCTGCGGGATCCTCATGCATCCCTATGATGCGTCCCCATGGTCTGGGGCAGGTCCCGTGTGTGGCTCTGAGCCCAGAGGCTGACCAGGGCGCTCCAGGGGTAGTCCCCGGCCCAGCCTGTGACCTGAAGGGAACAGGTGGGGCGAGCCCCGGGGGCGGGGCTTGGGGGCCTTGTAGGAGAGCAGGACTGAGAGGACAGGACCTGGTGGGCTGCCTCCCCGGCTCCTGGCTCCTCTGGGTGTCCAATCCCTCTCCTCAGTCCTGGAGTCACCAAGTTTACTGTCCTCGCCGGCTGACTCCAGGATAGTGTAGGGATGGACAGCAAGCAGCACTGGGCTGTGACTGGACACCCTGGAGGCCTTCTCTGAGAATCTATTTTTTAAAAAGATGTATTTATTTATTTGAAAGGCAGAGTTCCAGAGAGTCAAGGAGAGATAAGGGAGTTATTTTTTTTTTTTAAGATTTGCTTATTTTACTTGAAAGTCACAGATACACAGAGAGAGGCAAAAGCAGAGAGAGAGAGAGAGAGAGAGAGAGAGAGAGAGAGAGAGAGGTGTCTTCTTTCTGCTGGATCACTCCCCACATGGCTACAAAAGCCAGGCTGCGCCGATCTGAAGCCAGGAGCCAGGAGCTTCCTCCAGGACTCCCATGCGGCTGCAGGGGCCTAAGGACCTGGCCTATCCTCCACTGCTTTCAGTGGAGAGAGCTGTATCAGACTGAAGAAGCTAGGTCTCGAACCTGTGCCCATTTGGGATACCGGCACTTCAGTCCAGGACAATAAACCATGAACCACACTGCCTGCCCCCGCTATTCAATCTTTTACCACTTTCCCAGGAACACCTGTGTCTCAGCTGGGACCAGGAAGGAGAAGCCATGATGGAAACATGAAAAGTGAAATTCTGGATGGAGGGGCCATGGCAATCCCTTCAGTATTCCCACAGGTGAGATCCCACCCCACTGGGTTATGCATTTAGGGCACCGCCCCCTGGGAAGAGAAAGGGGAGGGCCCTCTCTGCCCCTGGCTGTGCTTGGGAATCCTCCTTGGGCTGCCTCTTCTCTCTTCCTCCTGGGCAACCCTGGCCCATTCCTGCTGAGTGTCTCCGTGTTTGTGGGGCAGCCCTCAGTAGGCGTGCAGGTGTGGTCACGCTCTCTCTCCTTGAAATCAAAGCTGCTTTTGTGCACTGCCTGTGGCTGCTGCTGCTGTGAATCCTCATCTCCATGGGGACAAGAACCTTGAGTAAAATGTAAGACCCAGGGCCCACACCTTCCCCACCGGGCACCCAGCAGGGTACGTGTGGTCCTGTGACAGCAGTGGGGGGCCGGGAGTCAGCCTGAGTGTAGGAAACATCAGGCTCCCTGCAGGAAGGAGGAGCAGCCTGGGCACGGGAGCCCCCAGGGGAAGTGGACCCTGGCTCATGAAGGCTGACTTTGTGGCTCCTGAGAACTGGCCTTGACCTCTGCTCAGCCCAGGGCTCTCTCAGCCACTATGGCCAGGGCTAGCCCAGGGCAAAGTCCAGAGGGAGAAACATTATCTGTGTACCCCATGAAGGAGTCAGTGGCACAAGCACTGGGACCCTCCTCTGCTGCTTTCCCAGGTGCCTTAGCAGAGATCTGGATCAGGAGTGGAGCAGCTGGGACCTGAACTGTCCTCATATGAGATGCCAGCAAATTGGTAGAGGCTTAACCCCCTGTGTAAAGCAACAGCCCTATACTCCAGGTTACTGCATTAATGATTCATGGTATCCCAGCTGTGGAGGTAACCAGGTGTCTCTTGAGAGCTGAGGGTCTAAGAAAACGTGGCAGGTTCACTCAAGTGAATGTGACTCAGCCGTGAAAGGACTAGAACCCTTTATTTGTGCTTCATGGATGGGATTGAGGGTGCCACTCATGGCAGCATAAGGTACGTAGCCACGGTGACTCCTGGAACCCGGTCCTCTGTGGCCTTTAAGAGATATGAGATTACAAGCATGCTGGGAAGAGGAAGAGGGGGTAGGGCTTAAGGCACCCAGGGGTGGGCAACAATGCCCAACGCAGTTCCCTTCTTATGGGGAGGGCCTGGAGGTGGGAGGAGAGCAGAGGGAGCGTGTGGAGAAGGTGGAGGGGGCATGAAGCTGGAGAGCCCAGGGCCCAGTGTGTGTTGAGAAAACAGGGCTGGCACTGGTGTTGCCCAACACAGCTCCAAGGAGGGTGCATGGAATGTGTCTCACACGAGGGACCCAGGGCAGGCTTGTCAATGAACCTCAAGCCGTGGGTTCTCCACCACGGTCAGCTGAGTTGACAGAGGCAGGGAGGACTGAGAGGCCACGTTAGAGTGCCTAATGCATCTCTCTGTGGATGTGTGTGAGTGCATCGGGGCCCTACCTGCACTGGAGCCCCTGACCCC